GGCGCAGGTTTGGAGGTACCAGGTATCAGAGAAAATGGACTAGGGTAGAGGACTGAACATAGCTAGTGGGATTGTTTGAGAGTCTGCAAAGTAACAGTCAGACCTCCCCATCTCCACTCCACAAACTCAGAAAATCATCCCTCCTTCCCCCTGCTCAAGCCAGGAAGTTTATTTGCTGGTAGAAAAAAACCAAACCAGAAAAGCACCAACCCCAGGGGCATCAGACACAGAGGGTGGTAAAGGACTGAAAATTGAGTAAAAGTCTACATTCTGAATAGTTAAGCCCACCAGCCCCCTTTCCCCTGCCCAGGTCTAGGTCACCAGAAACCAGGCTTATTACCTCCAGCTCTCAGCCTCCACTGCAGATTAAAGAATCCTTTTCAGGAGATTAGAAATCCCATCTAACCACATGATTGCCTTAAAGTGAAGCCCACTAATTGACAAATGGTACCCACAAATGGAGAGCTTCCTCTCAGCTTATGAGAGCCTCACTTTTATTTTAAATCAACTTTACTGATGTATAATTTACACACAATAAAAATGTACATATCAAGTGTACAGCCCAATGATATTTAACAAGAACCATGTAACCACTGCCTTAAAAAAGAACATTTACATCATCCTAAAACTATCCCTGTGCCCTTTACCAATCAACCCTTAACCCGCAATATCTAACAACTACTGATCTGGTTCCTATCCCTACAGATTAGTTTTGCCAGTTCTAGATCTTCATATGAATATAATCACATAATATGCATACTTTTCAGTCTGGCTTCTCTCACTTAGCACAATGGTTTTGAAATTCATCCACCTTACTGCATTTATCAGTTGTATATTTCCTTTTACTGCTTACTAGATATTCTATTACATGAATATACCAAAATTTGTCTTATCTATTCACCAGCTGATGAACATCTGGGTCGTTCCTAGTTTGGGCTATTATGAATTAAAGCTGCTATAAACATTCAAGTAAAAGTCTTTTTGAGGATTTGTGTTCTTTTGGGTAATTAACAATGGAATTACTGAGTCATGACAAGTGTACATTTAACTTTATAAAAACCTGTAAAACTGTTTTTCAAAGTGGTTCTACCATTTTACACTCTCATCAGTAACACTTGAGAGCTCTAGTGGCTCTACACCCTTTTAGATACTTGTCAGTTTCTTTCATTTTAGCCATTTTAGTGGATGTGAAGTGGTACCCCCTTGTGACTTTAATTTGCACTTCCCTGATGACTAATGATGTTGAGCATTTTTTCATATGCTTATTAACAATTCACATATCTTCTTTTGTGAAGTGTCTAGTCAAATCTTCCGGGTTATCTCTGATTATTGAGTTCTAAGCATTTATATATTTTAGATACAGATATTATCTCTTGGTCTGTGGCTTCCCTTTCCATTTTCTTAGCAGTAGCTTTTGAAGAGTAGGAGGTTTTAATCCTACTAATTTCTATTTATCCAATGAATCAATTTTTCTTTTATAGTTAATACATTTGTATCCTATCTTAAAATCTTAGCCTATCCCAAGGTCATGAAGATTTTTCTCTTAAGGCTTTTTTTTTGGTGGTTCTATAGTTTCAACTTTTAAGCATATTTAGGTCTATGATCTGTTTTGAATTAATTTTTACATATGGTATGAGGCTGAGTTTGAAGATCATTCAGCACCATTTGCTCAAAAGATTATCCTGTCCCCGTTGATTTACATTGGAGCCTTTGCTGAAAAACAAATGACCATATATATGAGCTTATTTCTGGATTCTCTATTTTTTTGTCTTTATATACCCCAATACCATTCTGGCTTAAGTACTATAGCTTTATAGTAACCCTTAAAATAGTAATGTAAATCTTCCATTTTTTTTCTTTTTTAGAATTGTTTTGGCTATTCTAGGTCCTTTGCACTTCCATATCAATATTGGAATCAGCTTGCCAATTTTCACAAAGAAAACCTGCTGGGATTGATCGCAATTTCATTGAATCTAAATCTCCATTTGGTGACAACAGAGATCTTAACAATATCAAGTCTCTAATCCATGAATATAGTATATCTCTCCATTTATTTAGATGCTCTTTAATTTCTCTCAGCAATGTTTGTAGGCCTTTCATTAAATTTATTCCCAAGTATTTCATGTTTTTTGATGTTAATGCAAATGGCATTTTTATTTTAATTTCATTTTTAATGTATTTTTTGCTAGTATATAAAAATACAGTTGATTTATGTATATTGATCTTGCCACTTTGATAAATTCACCTTTTTTCCTTTTAATAATTTGGTTTCTTTTTTGTGTGTGAGGAAGATTAGCCCTGAGCTAACATCTGATGCGAATCCTCCTCTTTTTGCTGAGGAAGATTGGCCCTGGGCTAACATCTGTGCTCATCTTCCTCTTCTTTATATGGGATGTCACCACAGCATGGCTTGACAAGCAGTGCATCGGTGCGCACCTGGGATCCGAACCTGTGAACCCTGGGCCACCAAAGCAGAGTGCGCGCACTTAACCGCTATGCCACCAGGCCAGCCCCTAAATTCACTTATTAATTATAGTATTTTTTTGGTAAATTCCTTGGGATTTTCTATATAGACAATCACGTTGTCTGAAAAGAGAGATAGTTTTACTTTTCCTTTCCAATATTTACTGCCTATTGCACTGGCTAGGATTTCCAGAACAATGCTGAATAGAAGTGGTGAGTTCTGAAATCCTTGCCTTGTACCTGATCTTAGGGAAAAGTATTCAGTCTTTCACCATTAATTATGATGATAGCTGCAGGTTATTTGCTAGATATTCTTTATTACATTGAGAAAGTTCTCTTCTATTTCTAGATTTTTGAGAGTTTTAAAAAAATCTCATATGGTTAATTTTGTCAAATACTTATTCTGCATCTATTAAGATGATCATATAATTTTTACTCTTTATTTGTGTTAATGTGGTGGAACAGGGGTGAGAAAACTGAAATTCTCATTAAGAAGCAAGACATAAAGTTTAAATTAATAAATGATCAATTTTCAATATACATGCATTTATAAATATGGAAGTAAATAATGAAAGAAACAGCCAAGAAAAAGTTGACAGCGGTTGTCTCTGAGGAGCAGGTCTAGTTGGGAGTGGAAACTGGTATTTTTAAAAAGCCTTTTAAGCACTGACACTTTAAATATGATAATTAATATATAATATTTGATAATAAATTTTAAAAATTAAAAATAGGTTCTAGGGAGATGTGAAGATGAGGCTGAGGCTGATTATTGTGTGCTAAGGCTAGGGAGCAAGGGTTTGGGGAGATAATGCAGCTTCAGGTATGGATTGTTTTGGTTGGGCATCCAGAAGAAGGTATTTCCCATGCAGATGGATATACGCAGCAGTGACGAGATAGGAGCTGAAAATAAAGATTTGGGAGTAAGCACCAGATAAAGGGTTTGTTGTTGTTGTTGTTGTTTGTTTTCTTGAGGGAGATTGGCCATGAGCAAACATCCGTTGCCAATCTTCCTCTTTTTGCTGAGGAAGATTGGCTCTGAGCTAACATTTGTGCCCATCTTCCTCTATTTTATACATGGGACACCGCCACAGCATGGTTTGATGAGCAGTGCATAGGTCCACGCCCGGGATCCGAACCTGTGAACCCTGGGCCGCCAAAGCAGAGCGTGCGAACCCAACCACTACACCACTGGGCCAGCCCCCAGATAAAGGTTTTAAAGCCACAAGAGTGGACAAGACTGAACATGCATAGAGTGAGAAAAGCGTCAAGGACCAAACTCTGAGGAAGGCTGGCATGCATGCATGGGGTGAAGGATGCAAGGAAGAAGACAGAGAATAAATTTTCAAAGGGCAGGAAGAGAACCAGCCAAATATGACATGGAAGTTAAGGGAGGAAAGTGTTTCATTCTTCCAACATGCTGAATTCCAAAGACTTTATATACCAACAAACATTAGAGCTATACTTTTTTTTTATAGGTGGTTCTTCCTAATTTCATGGAGAAATCTAGGAAGTTAGTAAAACCTAACAACATAAATGTAATGATGGAAAATAGAGAATGGTATTACACATATTTGTTATGTTGCTATTTATGTATTCTATTTCAGGAAACATCTGGAGCAGAGAGTATGAGGCAAAGAACTTCCACTGCTTATCTCAACTGCTGGAAGGGTTCAAGAAGAAAATGATCAACATAAATTGTAGAAGGAAAAGAAGATTGGTTGAATATCCATGTCACTTAGATAGGTCATTTGAAAACTAAGAAGAGAAAAAATTGTAGAAAAGTGCCTAAAAACTTTTTATTTAACAGATTACACAAGGTGTGATGATTCAGAAGTAATGAGTCATTTAGAAACAATAAAACTATCAGTTTGCCTGGAAAACACAGACACTCTTTGGTGTATGACTCAGTATGGAAACTGATCCCAAGAGAACAATTTAGAGGAATACAAAAACATATACCATAGAACTATTTGTAGGATACAAAAAAGAGACCTGGAATATTTTATTTGTTGTGTTCACTTCAAAAATCATCGAGAAAATAAATTAAGAAATCTCTTAGAAGGGAAGATTTTTCTTTTTTTTTTTTTAAATTTTTTTCTTTTTTTTTTTTTT